TACTCATCTAGGTCAGGGACCACAAGATTAGTGCCATTCAATAATCCTGGTGAAATACTTTCTGGAGCCAATGTATTCTAGATCTCTAGATCCTTAGTCTTCTTAATTTTTTAAAATTTTTATTTTAACTTTAAACGATTTTTTGGTCACGTTGATAAAATCTGCCTGACAGAACCAAGGTGCGGTCTCAGTGTTGGTGAGTAGAGCCCCCACTCTTCTCCTCCCTTCGGCCCCAGCACCTTGACCTTCGTGAGCTCACACGGAAACCGTCACAGCGGCTGTCACGGGGCAGGTGCAGCACACAGACCACAGGACCATCAACCCCCTGAAAGCCAGTAGTATCTGGTCAGGTAGACTGGAAACACTCAGCCTCCCAGGTAACCAAAAGTCTACTTAAACTGTGCGAGGCATCTGTGCAAATTGTCGTTTACCACTCAGTCCTGCTTCAGAAATCTCCACATGCGCTTCCCCCGCCACCAGGGAAAACTTCCCGAGGTGCTGCACAGTAGGGCCACACTCGGGGACCGCTGCCCACCCTCCAGGCCTCCCTGCCTTTCTCGCTTCCCCTGCTCCACCAGGCTGCCTCTCCTCCTGTCTCCCCACTCGGCCTGCTCACTCCCGCGGTGGGAGCCTAGACTTCAGAGCATCAGTCCTTTTCCTGACCTCACACACTGGGTCAAATCCTCTGACCCTGCCACCCCTCTACCGTTTTTTATCTGATGGCATCCGTCAAAGTTGTGACTTAGCATTTATCTGGTTGCGTCACTGTCCCATGGATGTCTGCTTCTAGACTGGAGGCTCCAGGAGGAAAGCGTGTTGATAGGCTAGAGCCTAGCACAGTGTCTGGTGCAGAGAGGATGTGCGATGAGCATTTGTTGAATGAATGAGTGAATGAATTAATGAATGAACGGATACATAAATGAACAGAGATGGGTGTGAGGGTAACCCTTGTCTAGGAATCTCAGCCTAGCTCCCCTCAAATCATATCTCCCAAACTATCTTTGTGAGATTATTTGGTGCCAAATATCTCAAAGTTGCTGCTTAAACCCTATCTATCTAAATCCAAATTTCAAGAAGGGGGCAGGGTTAGACAGAATTTCAGAGTCCTAGCAAGACCTTGAAAGATTGCATTTCTGCTTGAGAGCATCCTGATAATTTTTGAGTACTCTGGCTCTTACTGCTTGTGTGACTTTGGGTGAGTTTATGGACCTTATAATCCCTGATCTCCTTCATCTATAAACTGGGGATAACAGGCCCATTGAAGGAGTCACCAGATTACATACATTTAATCTTCCCCATTAACTATTATGTTAGTGATAGGTTTTTCCCAGGCATTTTTGCCAAGTGAAGGAAGTTCTCTTCTACTCCGACTTTCATGAAAACTTTGTCATGAATAGATGTTGAATATTGTCAAATATTGTTTCACATAAGTATGCAGTATAGCTGATAGTAAGCACTCAAACAAGTTAGTTCCTCCTTCTCTAACCATCTTTCATTTCCCTCCTCCTTGTAACTTCCTCAGTAGCTGGTTGGCCAGCACTGCATAATATGGGGAAAAAATGTTCTTCTGGTAGCTTTGAACTTGGCTAAGCCTTTTTGTATTGGGGGTTGAGGGTGAAAGAAGCCCGGAACATCTGTCATGGCTGGCCTGAATATGTCTACTTAGAAAAGTGCATTTTCAGCACCAACCTGTTCTCCTTCGGTCCTTGTCCAGGGCTGCCCCATTCCTCAGCCACCTGGGCACGGTGCCGACCTGGGCCGGCTACCCCAGCAGCGCTCAAGTTCTGAGGCATCGCCTTCCTGAACTTCCCCACAGGGCCTTCAGTTTAGGGTTAAACAAGTCCACTAAAAACTAAAGTGTTAATGGCCGTAGTGGTTAAATGTCTTCACATTCCTATGTACCATTTATATTTTAGCAAAATAGATGATAACATTTATAATTTAATACAGCATGACACCTCAAAATGGTAGAACGCTATGCATCCTAAAATAATATTTTATTGTAAAGGAATATTAAAAAGAAATGATCTGTATATGGAAAAGCATCCATGACCCATTGTTGAGTAAAAAGCAGAATATACACATATATGGTGTGATCACTTTTATTTACCTCTGTGTGTGTTTGCGGACGTTCATGAGAGTGGTTACCTCTACTCTGGGAGATGGGGTGAATTTGCACTGTCTTCCGTAAACTTTTCTGTGTTGCCTGAATTTCATACATGAGTACGTGTTGGCTTCCTCACCAGGGAGGAGAAACAATGAATATACTTGCTGGCTTGTGTTTCAGAATCACAGCCACAAAACCACAAGGACTCCTTTGCTCCCAGTATTTTGTGTCAGGGATGAGCTAGGAATTGACCAGGTCACTAATTTCTGTGGTTGTTTGTGCAGCAAAGTTTTCATGAATGCTTATACATGCAAGATGAGTCAGACATAACTCCTACCCTCCTGCTTTTAGGGTGATGGACTTCACATGTTATTAACTGCTTTGAGAGTGGTAATTATGATATGGTAGCAGATTCCGTGTGTGAACCAGGCACTGTGCTAGGTACTTTGTGCAATCATCTTTAACACACACCACAAAAAGGGAAGCAGGCATATGAGCCCTGGTACACAGATGGGACCCCGGTTCCACAAATGCTAGAGTATAGAAAGATGCCTTTGACTTGAGATACTAGAGAAGGCTTCATAAAAGAGGTGGCCTTAAGCTAAGCCTGGAAAGGGGGATGGCATTTGACCTTTGTAGATGGGGAGAAGATAATTCCACGTCAAAAGTTGTCCAAGAAAAGGTGCAGAGGAGAAGGCAATCATTAGGTCTGGGGGCTGGACTATTTGTTAGAACCGTTGGGGAGATTTTAAATGAGGTGCACTTGGCGGGGAACCCACTGAAATGAGAGCTTTGGGTGCCAGAGTTAGGCAAATCTAAATTCTTGCAGTCGCTAGTCTGGGCTGCACACTTTATTCAGACAGCGGGTGTGTGGCGAGCGGTGGGAGGATGCCACACGGGAAAAGACATACTTTCTGGCCATCCTCATTCCAGTAGCTAGAACGTTTCTTACACTGATGGCCCTTCCTTTCTCATACCTTCTTTACTATCTGCTTGAGCAGCATTGACTAATATGCAAACACGTTTGCTCCAGTTGCCACAGCATCATCAAGAAGAGAGTGAAAGGAAAGCATGAGATGAGGGCAGCCTTAACCTTTTCCTTGTTACCATTTCATCCCTCAGTCTTTTACTGCCCTCTGGTGGCCATTTCACTGAAGAATCTTTTATTTCTAAAGCAGATATCTCCAAACAGCTACAGCTCTTTGTGTGGTCTCTTCAAGCACCCAACTTCATGAATGACCTGTCCGTGTCACTCGTGTGCCTCTGAAATGCTGAGGATTAGTGTAATTACAGAAAAGCTATATTTAGCACTACCCCAAGTGCTGCAGGTAGATAGCTCGTTTAACCTCAGAGCAGCACTGCATGGCAACTACTAATGTCTATCCCTGTGCTAGAAGTGAGGAAACTGGGACCTAGGGAGGTTAAGTGACATGCCCAAGGTGAGGAAGTCTCAAGTCTCAGAATGGCAGAGCTTCAAATGTACTGTTTTCAGAGCTGACCCTTGTAACCACTTCTTTATTGCTCCTTTCTTGCCTTGAAGGAACTTAGTGTCTATAAGGGGAACACACACACACACACACGTCAAATAGTGCAGAGAACTTGCCGAAATGCCAGGGAAGGTCCTGGAGACAGTCATCGATAACCTCAGAAGAGACTCGAGGCTTTCAGAGAGTCGGTGGTGGCTTCTTGGGGAACCAGTGGAATGTGGTGGGATTTGGCTTCGTGTTTTTTGGCAGGGGGAGCACAGGGCACAGAGAGTCCAGGACGGGACTTGGACTGAGGATGATGGAGTGAGACAGGAGTGTGGGGCCTCAAGGAAGCAGTGGGAAGTAGGGCGGGAATGACGCGGAGGGAGGGGAAGCAGCTTGAAAGGCCTGGGCTACATGTGATCAATTTAATGACTCATTTCTTAGGAAAAAGATGAGGCTCCCCATACAGTGAGTGGTCAGCCACTCACCACTAGCTTTCCTACCAAAACAGTCACAAAACAACACACACCGCTCGTGCGTGTATTTATTCCTTCATTGACCGAGTCACCCAAGACATGCCGATTGCGTGAGCACCGACTCTGTGTTAATCCTGATTTCTACCCTTGGGTGGCCTGTGGCCTCACAGGGGAGAAACTAACAACTGTATAGAAGACAGGTGACAGGCAATGACAGTCCGAGCAACCAGAGCGAAGAGACGTCACTGGACAGGTGCAGAAGTGCTGGGCTTCCACAGTAGGGTTAAACCAGCCACCCCGGGGTCAGGGCTGCTGACGTGTCCTGACAAAGACAGGACCTGAGGCATCTGGGGCGTGGCAGCCGCTGGCCACACGCGGCTCCTGAACCTTCTAAATGAGTCCAATCCAAACTGAAATGTGCTTTTTGGTGTAAATAAAATACAAAACAGACCTAGAAGGCTTTAGTATAAGAAAAAGAATGTAAACCACTTCATTAACAGTTTTATATGGATTACCTGTTAAAATGATAATGCTTTGGGGAGTGGTGGGTTAATAAAATATTATTAAAATTAAATGTTTAAAAAGAGAGAGAGTCCAGTGGCCACCAAGCAGTCATAATGGAAAGACTGCGGGAAAGAATATCTCAAAAATCCTGTTTAGCTTTCTTATGAATATATTTCTTTTGAAATATTTACTTTCTTGCCCACATGTCCAGTGCATGATATATAATCCTGCTATAATAAATCCCCACACAATAAACACTAATGTGCTGTTCGGGGGCAGTTTTCTGGGCAGTAATGAAGGGAATTGAACTGCTAAGGGGAATTTCAAAGGAAAATGCCTCCTGAGGCCCAAGAAAGCATTGAAGACTCCAAAAAGAGGAAATGCAAACAAACAAACAAACAAAACAAACCAAAGGCCCTAACAACAACAAAGAATAACCAGAAATATAAAAACATAATTTTAATTAAATATTTTTACATCTATTTTACATTTCCAAACATAAGGAGGAAAAATCTTCCATCAGTGGAAACTCTTTAGGTAGTTCTAAGTGTCATTCCAGTTTTTACCTCTCTTCAGTTTACATCAATATAAATACAAGTAGTCTTTATGAAAATTAACACACAGTTTGTGAATTCTTGAAAAGGGGAGAGGGGCTTATGTGTCAAAGAAGCCGCAGGACGTAATAAAAAAGCGCCCTAAAACCTGATGCATAAGCTGCATTTGTAGCAAGAGAAATATGGGGAGTTACTGATCATTTTGTGGGGGACGGCAAAATAAGAGCCTACTTTACCAGCTCTGGTGGTAGAACACGGGTTCATGACATGCCAAAAAACTACCTCTGTGAGAGCGGTGAGTCTCTCCAACCCAGGCTAGAAGCTTCTAAGAGCAGAACTAGATTTCAGTGGCTCTCCATGTTTCACAGATAATGCTTCCAGGTTCGAGAGGTAGAGGGGTTTGAGATGTACGACCAGGATAGAAATGGGGAGGTGGTAGCTCTCCAGGAACACATCCCTGATCGAAATGTTTTGGTGCTTAAGAAAGAAGTCAACTATATTGGTATGCCAGTAAAATGGCATACAGATTTCAAGCATGATAATCAAGTCTGCATCTCCCATGTGAATGCAAAATTAAAAGAGCCCACAACGCAATGCCAATCATCTATGAAGAAATCTTCGAAGCAGAACCTTTCTGAAATTCAACACTCAGAGGTATACACCAGTGTTCCCTGAATACACTCAGAGTTGTAAACAAAGTTTATGCATACAGTGGAATCTCCAGCATCATCCCAGGGCTGGGGAGGTAATTCAGAGGCAAAGTTGTGTCTCTGGTAATTGTGATATCACATCAAGAGGTCATCGCTTCTATTGATTCATGGATAGGATCAGCCTGTAGACAGATCTTTGTCTTCACATGCAGTCATTGTTTCCATATCTACAGAACATACATTAGATACAAGACATGATCCCAATCTTTTGTCTCCTGCTTGCGTACTTAACATGCCCCTGCATTTATTCTCCACCATGTCTGTCTAGATTTTAAACACCCCTGAAGACAGGAACATAAGATCCTCTAGACCCGTAAATATATTGGCTGTACACATCCAATAAGTGAAGAAAAAACATACCCAGTAAAAAGTCAAGCAATATTTGAAGCCTCTTCCCATCAAAAACATATGTGAACACTAATTTTTCTTCCCCTTGATTGTTATTCTCGGAACAGAGTTAGTTGTTTTTCACTTTAGACCAAGCTCTGGCTTTCAGTTCCGTTGCTGGAGTTAGCATTTTCATGTTGACCAATATTGTCCTTTTGGACTATGCCTTGAATTTCCTCTACAAGAGCATGAAGATTAGCTTTTTGGAGACCTTTAATCAGAGTGGAATATGCATCTTTTTTCCCATGAAGCTGATACCAATTACGGAGCAGCTGGACCTTCTGTTCAGCTGTGTCCTGGAGGTGGTTGTTTTTGATTTCATCAATTTTGGCTTCATTGATACCATTCTTCCGAACAAACTCTTTCACTTGATTTATTGTCATTTTTTCAGCAATGATGATAATATAGTCACTCAAGTTAACATCTGAAAGAAAGAGAATAGCCTCTGAAAATTTGTTCTTTTAAATGAAATTACCATGACTGAAAACCTTGATTATCTCTCCTCTTATAGTAAGTACTGAAGACTACAGATTAGTCCTGTAGATCTAAAGGGCTGATAGGGAAACACAAAAACAGACACAGCCTTGCCTTCTAACCTCAGCTCTTCCTATATGCCCAGTAATTTGCTCTATGACCTGAGCAAGAAACATAATATCTCTGTATCTTCTTTTCTCATCCACAAGGTCAGAAAAGATCACTTCTAACATCCCTGTGGATCTGATGTTCAATGGCCTACAAACCTAAGAGGTAGACAAAGAGTTTATGACCATCTTATCTTTGCACCACAGCTCAAAAGAGGGAACTAAGTACAATCATCATTGTTACAGAGCTGGAATACACCAACAGTAACTGAGTGTATACAATTCAGACTAACCTCTAAGTCAATTTAAGAAGGAGTTCTATAAGACACCTAAATGTTTCAAAAGGAAATTTTCCTAAGCCTTGGCGTTTACTGTCTTATTGCTACCTGATTTACCTTTAACTAGGAATATGAGTCATAAATTTAAACAAACTGCCTGAAAGACCCTTGGTGCTAGCAGGGAGATCTATGAGCTTAAGGAATAGCAGACCCTGCAATATGTCACTGAAATTAGGAACATTTATTTTACTCTCACATTAGCCTGCTACTCCCTTGGAAGCCACCTTTATGAAATAAAATGATAAAAGCCTTACCTGTTGCATTCATTGGGGTCATTTCCTGGGGAGAAAAAAATACAAAGGAGGAGAGAAAAAATAAAAATACACTTAGAATAGTGTAAATGTAATCTTTCAATTCTTCCTTAATACTGAAGTACAATCAATTGCTTGATCTATACATAACATTAGCTAGACCCAGTGATTAAGAAGAATTCTTTCACCACTCAAATTTTTATTCTGGAAGGTTTCAGCATTGCTAGAAACTAAGGAATATTGGCTTATTTTTTAAACGCGAAGGAACCCCGGGAACTCGTGGGGTGTGATGAGCTGATGTTTCATAGAGACTCGCAAAAAACAATCATGATAAACACAATCATTCCAAAACTCTCTTTACTGTAATTATTCTTATTTTTCTCACAAGAAAACAGTTTAAATTAAAACTGTTCTGTTCTACACAGATTTAAGGAGCCTCAACTCCCACTGGGCCCTAGCCCCAAATAAGAAACTCATTATTCCTAAAGTGACCTGGTTTTTCTTCCCCGTTTAACTTTGGCTATTTGAAATGCTTTGATCCCACATTGGAAAAAAAAGATATGGCAAGATCGAGGGTAGCAAGTGGCTGGAGAAAGGGGAGCTGTACTTTTACAATGGGATTTAAGAGCTCTCTCTGTGCCTGGGCTTGGATAGGGAACTCATGCCCTGGGAAAGGATGTCTCTGCAGTCTCTCTTCAGAGAGAACACCAGCGTGGAAGAGGTGCTTGGCCACACCCCTCACCAACCAGCATGAGCACTCTCCCACTGAAGGCCTTTGCTCACTCTCAGGCTGCGTGCAGCGGGCTCCTAAACTGGGCATCACACCTTCATCACCTTTGATGCCCCTGATCCGTGTGCACACAAACACAATTAGTGCTTATTTTTAAAAAGTAACAAATAAAAAGTTGAATGACTACTGTCTCTGTGTTTCTAAGAGGGCTGATACACATTTCCACACTTACAGGATTTGGAGGTACGGATTCATGGCGACCATTTCTATTCCGGCGCTGTCTTTTCACCACTAAAAGATTAAAGAAATTTCCATCAAATTCCAATTCAGCCTTGGAAGCACCCCTCTTACCCTAGAGAAGTGTGAGGGAGAAGTTCACTGAGGCTTCAAGTGACCAAACATCCCCAAGAGACAGCACTGTCCGGATGTCGGACAATCCCACCCCACCAGGTCAAGTGTCCTAGAGAAAAGTTCCATCTTAATTGAGACGTCCGGTTACCTCCCACTGGCCTAGCCTGAAGCTGGCTTTTGACTCCACCATTGATGTCATGTATTGTATGACATCACCATTACCTCTAGCCAACTCCACCTGGATGTCATGGCTACAGCAGGCATAGAAGCAGTGGACAGGGAAGGTGACATCTACTGGCCATGCAGTGGCATTTCATGCCCGGAAATTCAAAGACATGCATTCACAAATAACTCAAGAGTACACACTCAATGAATACGTGTCCTGGAGTCACTAGGAGCTGGAAGAAGGGGATCTGCAGGTCTGTGAGCACGGCTACGGTGTTTAGACAATAGAGCACGTGTTTGTGGCTGAACAGCCTCTAAAGGCCACTCTTTCCCTTCAGCTGAGCTAAAGAAACAGAGAAGAGAAAACAGAATGCTTCCGAGTGACTGAAACTGCACCGCCCCGTGTGTTATGAACGATTTATAGAGATTTTTCTGGAGGAATTATGATTACATCCAATTTTGGCTTATTGGCTAACTTTACTTGCCTAAAATTTATTGCACAGTATTTTAAATTATGGTGGAGAAAGTATAAACAAATCATGGAATTTGAACAAGGCTGAGGAAGCACTGAGAGGAACGAAAATATCAAGTGTCCCCTGCAATGCCTTTCCCAGGAGCGCCCTGCATCTCATGTTCTCTTAACGCAATCCCGGCGAACCGTGAAGGGTTACTGGTGATTCTTGGACACCCTGGCTGCTGCCTGGGTGCAAACATAGGGACGATGGGAATACCCACTCAGTGCCCCCAAATGGCTGCTCAGAAGCGTAGCTGAGGGATAACGCAGTCTATTCATATCAGCTCTCACGGGTGCATTCAGTGTCAGGAATTAAAAATGTAACAGAGCTAGCTACCTCCCTGGTAGAAGCTTTATTATAGGTAGGAGACAGAAGAATTCTCTGAGCAAGTACTTCCCAAGTTATTTCAAGGTGCAATGTGAACAAAGTGAGAACTTACAACAATAAATTCCTGCAGATACTGGAATCACCAGGAGGAGTAAACACCACAGTAAGTGGGATCTGGGTCCTGTAGATTGGAACATTGGACATTTTAGATGAAAACAAGCAGTCTGTAAGATTAAACAGGGTTCTCTCAAAGAATCCAAAGGGTTTTCTTCATATTTTACTATGGGAACAGGAGAAAGGAGAATATACTCATAATAATAACCTTCTTGACATCTGGTGTTGCTGGTTCGTGTGCATTTCTCACTGACTCCATATTTACACCTAGAAAAATATAGGAGAAATTTTAAAAGCCTGGCGGACTGAGTCCTTGATCATTTTCAATGACACACCATAAATAAGGGGCCATTACAATCATTTTCACATCTCCATCAAACACATTCCCTCAAATATTTCTAGAACAGCCTCTAAAGCTGGTAAAAATTTATAACATAATTTGGATGTTCGGATGAAGAAAAAAAGACTATGTTTTAAAATGCCCGAGTTAAAGGAAGGTAAGAAAGAATTGACAAATAAGAAAAAGGCTGAAATAGACCCTAACTTAAAATTGGCAATAAACAGTGCTCTTAAAATACCAGGAGGCAATCACAAACTGCAAAAGCAATTTCAAAGAAGGGTCATAGAATAAAATGGCCAGACAATAATCAATGCCCACGAGGTTACCCAGGGGGCCCACTCAGCTGGCCCACATAGGTTTCTTGCTTTAACACCAAGTGGTAAGTAGGATACTCAAGAGGTTCCAGTGGGTTTTCTTCAGTCATTCAAACACTGGCAGTCAGATTGTCTGAACTGAAGCTTGGCCCCCACACACTATCTAACCAGGTGAGCTTGACAGGTCAGGTAACCAACCTGTTTGCTCACCCATAACATGGAGATAATATTACCTGCTGGAAGGGGTTATGGCGAGAAGAAAATTAAATCAAGATTGTGAAATAACTAATATTCTTGTTATTACTGGACTTATATTAATTCCTACCCACAATCTCTACTTATTTTTCTGTCATCATGAAGGCTGTCTCAGACACTTGGCACTAGAAAGGAGAGGCTAGGTTAAGTGCACATGCCTTGCATTTTTTCCAGTAAATAACAGACATCAGGCATGAAGTCCCTACTTTTCAAGTCTAATAGGTGAACTCCTGAATGTTTCCTAAGATGAATTACAAGTTGAAGGAGAGGCACACTGATGTAATCTTAAGTATACTTATATAATTAAGATGTCTGCAAAACAATGTCTTAACAAAGCAAAAGCTGTTTTTATTTATTTTTTATTTCTATTTTAATTGTTGTTTAAGTACAGTTTTCTGCCTTTTCCTCCCATCCCAGCCCACCCCCCAGCCCTCCCCACCTCCCTCCTGTTCCCCCCCGGCCTTGTTTTTGTCCATGTGTCCTTTGTTCTCATAAACTCCTCCCCTTTCCCCCTGAAATTCCCTCCCCTCTCTATAATATATTATGCAAATTGATCTTCACAGAAATGAGACCAATAAGACAAGTGACCATTATTTGTGTCCTAATGAGTGAGGAAACTGGAACCTCAGAGAGGTTCAGTGATGTGCCCAAACTCACTCAGTTAATCAGAAGAGTGAGGCCCACAAATCAGGTTTTCTAACTTTGGATCAAAACCAAGCTCTTCAGCATGAAAGACAAGGCCCTTCATGATCTGGCCCTGGCTCCTTTGCTCTCTTTCCCGCGTCCCAGACAGGTACCCGGTTCTCCAGAGCTTCCTCTGTCTCTTTGTAGCTGCTGTTTCCCTGCCTGAGGTGTCCTTTGGAGCCAGGCACACCTTCCTTCAAAACTCAAGCCATGTGTCATATCTTTGACGCATCTCCCCAAGCAGAGCTGAAAGGTTCTATATAACTCCTGACACCCTATGTGCTCCTGATGCTTGCCACATGGCCTTGACTCAATAACCACACCTCTTTTGGTTCTCTCTGCTCCTAGCCTGAGAGCTTGGATGCCAGCAATGAGTCTTACTCATACTGATAGCTTAAGCAGCCAGCAGTTGTCAAGCACACAGGAAGGGTTCAATACCTGTTTGGAGGCTGGATGTCTGAATGAACAGATGGGTATCTAGCTGTTTGGAGGTAAAGCAAGCCTAGATCCTAAATTCTTGATTCTCAGCCCACATTGCTTCCCGCTAGCAAGGCATTATCTCTCAAGGTATATCTAGTGTTTTCTCAGAAAAAGATGAAAACTTACGTGTTGCAAGGGTCACAGTGTTCACATGGAGGAGTGTTACAAAAAAAGTTTGATTTGCATCTGCACTTGGTATTCTGGGTCTTGGTACAGTTTATTTCCACTTCTAAGCCTAGAAAACCGATTTGCAGACTATTAATCACAGCAGCTAGTTATAAATTGACTATGAACATAACGGGCAGGAGCTGCATAGACTTCTGCGACCTGCCACTTACAGGAGCAGTCGCACCACCGTGCCTTTACTAATGCAACTGGTGTTTAAATGCACAACAGGCAACCCCAGGTTGAAATGGTTTAAGTCATTTAGCAGAGTTTTAAGTGGATAGACAATCCAGCAACCAAGACAGCCCCACTTTTGCTTAGATAGCTCCCATGTTCTTTGAGCCTTAAGCCGGGTTACTCAGGCGTGACTTATGGACCAACAGCATCAGCACCACCTGGTATCTTGTTAGAAATGAAGATTGTTGGGTCCCACCCAGGACCTACTCAAGCAGACCAAGACCAATGCTCTTGCTTAGAGATTCTGATTTAATTGGTCTAAGGTGGAACCTAAACATTGGCATTTTTCGTAGCTCCTACGTGATTCTAATGTGCAGCCAAGGTTGAGAAATATTGCTTTAGAGCTTGAGTAGAGACAAGAGAAACATATCCTCAGAGATTCCTTAATGTCAACCAGAACTGGGAGTACTTCTGTCACATTTTAATCAGGGGCCCTCAAAATACCTTGGGATATTCATGAAAATTCAGGGCCCCAAGTGGAATGACCAGGACAACCCGATCCCCAAAGAAGGTGAAGCATCTCACCCACTTCTCGGGATCCTCTGTCCTTGGATTTGAAGGTTTCTGAGCTCTTTCTGGCCATAAACAAGAGCCATTAAATAAATGTAAGTCAAGGCATAAAAGAAAGGTTTCTGCAGTTTTGATGGGAAATAAGGAACTTTGTTCGCAGCATTCATATGTAGTCAGTCTGCCACGTGCGGGAGAATTGCCTAGGCCTCGCTCCTAAGTGTCTAGACCAGTGGTTCGCTCAGTCCTGGTCCTGCTTCCTCCCAGTCAGCTCCATCCTGCCCCTCCCTCTATGCCAACATAGCACCAGAGTAGGTTCCCATTTCCAATTGTATTACAAATGATTCTACATGGGGTACTACAATTGGTCTCTTTCCATAGCTTTTTAAGACACTTACCTTGTTCTTCATCACAAATTTTGCATCGTCTGCACTTGTTAGAATAATGTGTACTGTCTGTGTACTCCTGCCCTTCTGGGCAGGGCTCGCAGACTAGCTTGTCCCCATCAGCCTTGCAGTCACTCTGTTTCCGTTCACCTGCCAAAAATAGAATGGAGCAAGCTTGTAAGCCACAGCATGGGGAATATGTAAAGATGGCAATAGAACTATGTTAACACAGGGGAAGTCGGCTAATGTATGAAGACAATGGAGGAGATGGTCATTGTAAAAATCATGCCAGGGACAGCAAGTCTCCAAAGACAACAGCTGAAAGAGTGGCTGAAGGAAGATGCACACAGAAACAGGACAATGACAATAGGAAAATGGGACGGGGCAAAAGAGGCTGGAGTGACCAAATGCACTGGGGGGGAAATGCCTTACTTTTTGGTGGAGAGAGGAGAGGTTGATGGGTATGTATTCATGGTGGTTGCCACTGGCCATGACCTAAAGCATTCACCTTGCTCTGGCTCCTCATTTTATTTTCCAAAGTCCACAGATTATGGTGAGGGACAGCGCGGTGCAGGGAATAGGGCACTGGAGGTTCTAAGGACCTCAGCCCGATCTTTAGTAGCCTTGTGATCTCTAACAAAGCGCTTACTCTCTCTGAGCCTACACTTCTTCATGCATTTGATGGAGATAATAATCCCTCTCTTGCTACCAGAACTGCAAAGGGCCTACCTCGCAAAGGCTCACAGTCCTTTCTTTATCCCCTTTCTTTCTATTCCTTTGCCGGTAAGGGTCAGAGTATGTTGCAATGGGCAGGCAGGAACATATGCAACTCTATCATCAGATTCATTATCATAATGCACACAATTTCAAATAATATTCATATCTGCTTTCATTTACTTCAAAAATAAAACAAGTCATTATAGTGTTATTAGTGAGCAGTATTCAACAATGCCCCCTCTTGGAAATTTTATTTATTTAACAGCTGTTTACTAAAGGCCTATTGTGTTCCAGGCACTTCCTGGAAGCTGAAGGTACTACAGGAAATACACAAAGCCTCAGTCCTCCAGGATTTCATATTCTCCTGGTAGAAGAGGGTACACACGAATAAATACATGACAATCAAGTGGTGATAAGTGCTGTGGGGAAAACTAGATTAGGGCACAAAAACAGAGAATGAGGAAGAAAGAGATAGAAAATAAAAAGGGGAATCAAAGAGAAAAGCATGGCTGCTAACTCCAATTACTAACAGCATAACTAAGAAGAATGAACCAAGTCTAATCTGCTCTTCTCACAGGGGCAGCAAGAATACTTTATGCTGTCGTTCCTAGATACACCATTTCTCAACAACCTCAGAGCCTTGTTTTTGATAAAACAAAATGCTGATACTTACTACATAATCAAATTAATTTAGACTCATACGATATTTTAGTAAACAAAGACAATATCCATCAATAGAAAAAAATAGGCAAACCATGGAAACTTGGAACCTAATTCAAACATCGTGCATCGGGGCTTTGTGACATCATGGCAATACTTAAAAGAAAACCAAGCCAAAGCACAATTTTATTTGCCTGCCAGTGGTACGATCCTGGTTTCTAAATGAATTGTCCTCTTTGATGAGCTACTTTTCTTTCTTTCCTTCTTTCTGTCTTCCTCTCTCTCTCCTTCCTTTCCTCCCTCTCTCCCACCCTCCCTCTTCCCTTTTCCCTCCCTTCCTTTCTTTATTGATGGGAATAAAATTTAAAGGCAGCAATGATCTACATGAAAGGCTTTCAAGGTTTTTGTGATTTTTCCATTGATTTTGCCCCCACTTAATTCATCAACTCATTTTATCAACTTTACTGAAGTTCTCCAAAGCATTTGAACTAGTTTTCACAGACACACAATCTGTGTTTCTTTGTATTCATATACCATTGGTTATATAATATTTAATTATAATATATTCGTATCACAACACTGATAAGCATAAACAGATCTGGAAGCAGTCTGAACACGGATAAGGCCTGAAATGGAACAGAAGTGGGAGACGTGCTCAGCAGGTTTTGGGGGCCACCCAGGATGTTTCGGAGATGGCGCAGAGAGAATTAGTTAATTCAGCCAGCAGATTGGTTAGCAGTCCCTTCAGGGGGTCTGTGCCCATTGAGAATTATATTAGAAATACATCAGAAAACAAAAACTGTGATCGAACATAGTATTCCAGCCTTCGAATACTCCAAAATTTACTTGGTTGCACATCATTGGGTACCATATGGAAATGTCACATGTTCAATATTTTCCTCTATTTTGACAACACATTTTCTTGTTAATCAAGTAGTCTATCAGTAGGTAAAATTTTTTCACGTTTTTGGTCCATACACATATCCAAATTTCTTTCTGAAAAAGAGCTGGTGGTATATAAGAGTTCTTGACTCACAAGCAAACTCACCGGGGCTGAGAGCACTCCTTAAATGAATGTGAAACAAAGCAAAACACAAAAAAAGCAAATGGACAAAAATCCTAAACAGTTTGAAATGTAAAGCATATTATCTTTGTTTTAATTAGCATTTTAGGTTTAAAAAACATGAAAGATTTGAATTCACAGGACAAATTGATTGTGTTTAGCAAGTTATAAAAATTCAAGAAGCCTCTCTCTCTCTTTCTTCTTGTATTTTTTCCCATCACCATTTAGTCCCCTTATACACCGTCCCCCCTCCAGCAATCACCACACTGTTGTTTATGTCCTAGAGTGCTTTTTCCTTTTCTGCTCCATCTTGTCCAGCTGTCATCCTGCTCTCCATCTATGAGTCTGTCTCCATTTTCCTTGTTAGTTCAGTTTATTCATTAGATTCTACATTTTTTAAAAATATTTATTTATCTTTAGAGGGGAAGGGAAGGAGAGAAATATAAAGTTGTCATGCATCCCTGAATGCCGAGTACACCAGAGGGCTAGATTCTACATTTTTTATTCCTAGTTGCAGAAGAGTAAATGGGCTTAAGTATAAAAGGATTAGATTATAAGAGAGAGCTTCCATAAGGGTTACTAAAACCTGGACAGGAGGCCAAGGAAGCACGGTAGAATCTTCTTATAAACAGGATCCACGCCGGTACAGCAGCCCAAATGCCGAAATCCGGGGAGGCCAGCCAACCGTGGCCTCCTGCTACAGTCCTTTATAGTTGCAGTAGCCTGGCACATAAATCCGTGTATTGTTTTCCTTTACTTTCCTGTCTCACTTCACCGAGCAGCAAGAAGAGATTCATATCTGTATGAAATAGTAGTCAATTGACTCCATGTTGAAAAAAGCTTATGCAGTTGCATTTCGTTTAGCTTCCATTTTGCTGATGTTTAGAGGATTTCCGATCTGAAACTGGTTTGCATTTCAAAATACTGATTTTAAAAAACCGTTGGTTTTTGTCTGTTGCTTCTCCAGCTCAGCTAGTTATTAAGCTGCAAAATGCAAATGTATTTTGCAGGCTTCAGTGTCTTCTAATTGAGAAGTACTGAGATACTTGCTTTCACAGAGCCACAATTAGGATATATTCTAATCATTTCTGATATGACCAGCCTTAATATGCACAAATGAGTCTCCTTTTGTTAATGGAAAATGAAACTAGATAGATAAATCTTCTCATTTCAGACATACATATCACTTGTAAAGTATATTTATTTATACCCTCGTCAGACAAGTGTGATAAAGATGAATTGAACTGGTCTCAAGAAAATAATTTCATAGCTGTTTTCTATTTTCTCAGGAATGCTATCATGCAGGAGAGCCAAACACTGTTAAAATATTTTTCATTATTACCATACAGTATTTTCCACCCCGGTTCTCACTCTGACTGCCGGATGTACATGTAACATACCAGGAAGACATGGCCGACAGCAGAATCTGTCCTGACGCTGTTGGCCTGCTGGGCACCCAGCCTCCCTTTTAGTAACATTCTGACTTGATTCCAACAGCCCAAAGGTAAGTATCTGCAAAAGAAAAGCATGGAGAAAATTTGACTGAGTTCTGAATTAAGCAACTTGGTAAGCAAGGACACACTGCCCCAAAGGACTGCATTTGCCATGGTACCCAGGCAGAATCAGTACTGAGGCTCCACCCTCCTACCCAGTCGCCTCCAAAAAAGGAGCAGATCCATTGAATGACAGTCCAGATCTCGGGTTCTCTAAGCTACCCTAGAATCAGCATCATGAGTGGTAGGAGCCCTGGTGACTGCGGGTAAAGTCACTTACATTCTTCTTCTTCTTTTTTTTTTTTTTTAGTCTGTAAAGTAGAAATAATCTCCTCTTCATGAGTTTGTTAATTGAATGGAATAATGCACTTAAAGGTCTTAGCACAATTTCTGGCTCATTAATACACAGGTGCCCAGTAAGCACTATTATTATTAATTATTATCGTTATTATTATCATAAAGTTCCACTGAGGGGCATCATAGTAGGGTGGGGAGAAACAGGAAATTTCAAAAAGGATGCTGTTTGATTGCCAGCTCTGCCAACAACAGTGTTGCTTTAGGCGAGTTATATAAATAACTTCACTGTCCTCAATGTCCTCATCCATACTAGCCTCAATGTCCTCATCCATACTTCCTGTCTTGAAAAGTAAAGGGTTGTTGTGAAGATAAAAGTGACCATTTCTTCCAAACCTGGTACTTAGTTTATAGCATGTTCTGCTTCTCCCTTCTTCTATACATAGCCATAGAATCAACAGTTTTAGTTCATGCTTCCTGGTTACCAAATCATGCAATGAAGGCAACACAATTTTCTTTACTTTTATTCAGAAAAAAAATGAACTTCACTTAATAGAAAACCAATTTTAATCTGTGTTTTATTCCCTTCTTCTGAAGACACATGCACAGAAGTCTAAGTGACATTTGTGTCAAATTCATCTCAGTTACAGACTAGAGTTCCTTAGAAAAACCAGCTCCTAAAAACGTTTGGAAGCACTGAGAGTGATTTCCAGTTGATTCTTTTCTCAGGTTTCTTAGCATTCATTTGTTTATCTCTCCAAACATAAATTCAAATAATCTCTTATCTTACATGGAATATGAAAATTATATTGCTAAGTACCAAAAAATCTATTAGTTTTGAGGATTTTTTCTCAAGGCGATTTTTTATAGTTTTAATTGCATATATATGTTTTCATACTTTATGGTAATAATACTGACATCTTCTGAATCAAGAGAACTAAATGTTCCACACATGTAAGTCCCTACCACAGAGGTCCCCACCTCTTCCATTTTAGCCCTTCGCCCTGTGTTATCAATGCCTGTACTCCCTTCAGGTTACAGGATACCATGGGGCTTACAAAGAAGGAGAGATGAAGATGTGGCTGACCACTTTCTTCCTGAGATGAAGGTATTTCAAAATGCATTACTAAAATCCAGTCTTTCAAGATGGAAAATGCCACCAAAATATCAAGGAAATAACTGACTCCTTTGGGGTCGCTCATTAGCAAAAGTCAGAGGGCTGGGACTTTTCTAAGTCTCCTAATTCGTATTACAGTGTTGTTACCCCTGCACCCAAGAGGCAGGTGAGCTTTCTGCAGAACATAGCTTACTTTCTGTATGCGAACAACTCCATGTAGAGAACAACTGGTACTAAGACACAGATCTGTGGAGTTATGCCGGAATATGCTGGCTTCCCTCTCAAACCGCTAACTCTTGAATCCAACTGACATTTCTTGAGCACCTACTATGTGCCAGGTTCTGGGACTAAAAACATGAATTGTAACCAAAAATGAATGTTAGGTTTCCAAAAGCAGATTTGTACATGGGCATGACTTGGGAATGTTTTACACATTACATTTGCATGACTCATTAAACACATTTGAATCTATGATCTTTTCATGCAGCTTTGAACAAAAAACTTTATTAGCATCTATTTATCTTTTCAGGATCATAATTCCCTACTTTTTACTTTCTCTACAGGTCATCCTATCATTCTAACAATGTTAGTCCTTCTTCTAGATCAGAAAATATATAGCTAATGAATAATAATTAAATTGGTCACTGTAGAAAATAATAATGTGATTGAAAGCATACCAAATGTTTAATTGCTAAAATGGTAAGGACTTTCAAATAAAAATCATTCCAATTTTTAAGAACCTTTTTTTATCACTACCTTACTGTTCTATTCGACAGCCTGAAATTAAATATACTGTCCATTTAACACTGTGGGCATTGCCAGCACAGGAACACTCTCAAATCACGTAAAAGCCATTCTGTAGCTAGACGAGGTCTGTAAGTCCTGTTTACAACAGTTATAGGGAAAGTGACTCTAAGCAATAGAACTGAGTAGGAGCAGTAGGAACAATTCTCTTCTGTGGTCAGCCACCTCAGTTGCTGTAAAGAGGGAGTTAACGGTGAGATATCACTTCTCTTTCAATTCTCGTTTCTCTTTAGAAACTGGAGAAAATGGCATAGATTTAAACTCCAAAAGGTTTATAGGTTTTGAGCTCGCTGAAATGGACAAGTCAAAGGCACTCAGACTTGATACCCAACAGTGTGGGAGTGTGTGTGTCCTCTGGCCAGAGGGTGCTAATTCACCTACTATTAACAAGACGACAGCATGAGCAGGCTCACAGTCCCTGACTTAAAACGATCAAGTGCTCAGGGGACTAGCACATTTTTGTGCAGTGTGGCATTAGTGCTATTTCTGAAAAACTGTGCATATACTCAGCTTTCTGGGGGCTGCCTAAAAGAAATGTACTTTCCAATTCATTTTGTTTAGCTTTCGAAGGTTTTGATTGGAAATCAAAATCTACTGTCCAAGATACATTCAGAATTTGAGACACGTGAAACCTGGAGCGGAGCAGGGAAGAGCTGCCAAAGTCCAGACCGTGAAGCGCAGCTACCAGTCCCCTCTCCTATTTGCTCACACCTGCTCCACAGAGTCAAAATGCTGGAAATATTTTTTAATTTAGTTCAGCATCAAAAAATTATGTCAAGAATAAAAAAGAAAGATGGGTCTGAAGAACATGTCGTGACTGCTACCTGATACGATCTAAGCAGTGCTTTGTGCAGCTTGTATTCTAAAATATTTTTTTGCATGAGCTTGAGATTGCAGTATGCAAAGATTTAACCCAAACTTTCCAGGCAGACACTGGGGAACTTGGGCTGTGCCAGGGCCGGAAACCCACAACGAACTAAATGATCTGAATGTTCGAAACATTTCTATCAGAAAAGCTTTTGAAAAAGCCAGAAAATAGGTTAAATCAAAGCTCTGAAATGTGAATAAACTAAGGTATATGATAACCAAATGGGATAAAACATGAGGTATAAAAATAATTTTAAATAGTCATTGTAATAAAGATTTAAAAGGGAAACCTCAATTGTATATACTGATGGGGATAAAAACATTAGCTATTCCATTCATAAATTAATTAGTTGAGTACATACTATGTGGTAGAGTGATATCTTGGAATGGAGCAGTGAACAGATAAAGACTCTTCTCTCATAGAGTGTGTTGTGAGTGAAATGTATTGGCCAGTGTTCTCCAGAGAAACAGGACCTAGAGGGTTCATGTGTGTATGTAGAGAGACACAGGACAGACAGACAGAGAGAGAGATTTTAAGGAACTGGCTTTTGCAATCCTGGAGGCTTGGTAATCCAAAATCCAGTGGGGTGGGCCAGCAGGCGGGGTTCAGAGAAAGCAATCCTTCTGGAGGCAGAAATCCTTCCTCAGTTGTCCTGTGAAAGCCTTTAACTAACTGGATGAGGCCCACCCATACTATGGAGCGTGAACTGCTTTACTCAAGAATATCTATTTAAATGTTAATTTCTGTAAAAAATACCTTCAAAAAAACATCCAAAATAATGTTTGATTGAAAATCTGGGTACCATGGTCCAGTCATGCTGACACATAAAATTATGTATCCCGTAGGGGAAGAAATACACATTCTGTCAGAGAGGAGTCGTGCTATTTGAAAGCATACAGCAAACGTGATGTCCTGGAGAGTTCAAGGGGTGGGGCAATGCTGTTTTAGAAGGAGTGGTCTGGGAAGGCCACCGAACAAGAGGACATTTAGGCAGTGATGTAATGGAAGCACAGGTTGCGAGCTGTGTGGGTGGATGTCCAGGAAGGAATTTCTGGGCAGCTCACACGCAGAGGAACTTGGCTTGGCCAAAGGGGAGAAGTACCTGAGGTCCTCAGCAGAAACATCAAGCTTGCTATCAAGATAGCTGAACATTAATGTCTCTGGAACCACACAGATAATTAACATTTTAACGCTGGACACTGTAGTGGAGTCAAATGGCCAACCATAACCATAGACGCTGCAATCACATGGAATCTTGAAATGTCAAAGCAGAAAGGGGCCATAAACATCTATTCAACTTCCAGATAGGTTTATTTTAATGGATTTAATGAGTTTTTCATTATCTGCAGGATTTTAATATTTTCTGCAAGTCAGAAAATGTGCTTCTATCTCTCTTGAATCATTCACAGAAATAAATGCCAGGAGCACCAATCCTTACAGAGTTGTTTACCTATTCTCTCATGACATTGTCTGGCCTTTTACAAAGTCCATTGATATGTATCAATCGCTTCATGGTAGTTACAATAAGCTACTATGCATGAGAATTCTAAGTGCCTTACTTTATAGTTGAGAAAGCTGAACACAGAGTAGATTAACTTGTTCAATAATCCATAATTAGGAGCGGTTATGGGAGGATCTGGCATTTCTAGCCCAAATATGGGCTCTGTTTCAGATTCACAGTTAGTTTCCTAATTACTTTTCCTACATGTAGGCATGCAAACAACTCAATTTGTTTTTAGACAGTGGTTGGCAAGAAGCCTAAGTGTGAGTATACAACAAACCTTCAAAGCAAATGCATGTTGGATGTAGGTGCTGGGAGGGACAGGGGGTGGGGGTGGTCTGGCAGAAGTCAGTCCCAAGGCCTCTAGTCTGGGAAAACTGTGGCAGGATCACCAAGGCTGCGGTTCTGGCTGGCATGAGGGCAGAAGGTCCCAGC